TGAACGATGACTGTGAGAAGGTCAAGAACTGGCAGAAGGATGCCTACCACAAGCAGATCATGGGAGGCTTCAAGGAGGCCAAGGAGGCTGAGGATGGTTTCCGGAAAGCCCAGAAGCCCTGGGCCAAGAAGCTCAAGGAGGTGAGAGGAGAAGCGCAGCGTGTCCTGGGGCACCCGTGCTCTGGCTCTGGGTGCCCGGTCCAGGCTGGGAGAGCCGGGTGGCACATCCCTGCAGGCAGAGGGATGGGCAGGGGGCTGTGACTGCTGCTCTCTCCTCTCCACAGCTGGAGACAGCCAAGAAAGCTTACCACCTGGCCTGTAAGGAGGAGAAGCTGGCGATGACCCGGGAAGCCAACAGCAAGGCAGAGCAGTCCAACACCCCCGAGCAGCAGAAAAAGCTCCAGGACAAAGTGGAAAAATGCAAGCAAGATGTGCAAAAGGTGCGAGCCGCTGCCCTGCTCCAGGCTGACGAGGCACGGGGCAGGGAAAACCAGCGGAAATGGCCATGACCCCCCCTTTGCCCCCATTCATTCCCATTTTCCCATCCCTACGCTTCTGTAGAAGGGTGAGGACTTGCAGGCAATGCTCAGGGGAGCGTGAGCAGGGCACCTGTCTTACTGGGGCAGAATCTCCCCAGCACCCAGACTGATTTCACCCCACAGAGGCTCTTGGCTCAATCTGGGCTCCCCAGCATGGTGGCCTCCAAGCCAGACCCTCTCAGCACCCAGAAAAGGCCTCTGAGGTGCTCAAGGTATAACCAAGGTACCCTCCGGCACCTTTGCAGACTCAGGAGAAGTATGAGAAGGTGCTGGACGAGCTGAACAAGTGCACCCCGCAGTACATCGAGAGTATGGAGCAGGTCTTCGAGCAGTGCCAGCAGTTTGAGGAGAAGAGGCTCAACTTCCTCAAGGAAGTGCTCCTGGACATCAAGAGACACTTGAACCTGGCTGAGAGCAGCAGGTAGGTGCCTCCCGCGCTGGCCAGGCAGAAAAGTGCCCACGCAAAGTCTCCTTGTGCTGCCTGGAAAACAAACCGAGCCCTGGAGGGACCGGGTGCTTCCAGCCTAGCCCGTCCCCTGCAATACCAGGGAGAGAGGGTCTGGCCAACACGGTGGTCACCAAGAGGTACCAGAGTGGCCGAGGGCTGTGCAGGAGCCTCGTGCCCCCCAGTGCCTCGTGGGAGGTGACACAGCCTGGGCATGTCCCCGTCCCACCCTGTCCACGGGGCACCCCGCTGGAGCCCACCCCCACCCACAGC